CGAATAATATTCTAGATAATTTTAATAGTATATTATATTATTAATTCTTATATTTATAAGATTTATATTTTAACTTATAGGGATATTAAACCTTATAGATAGGTTCTATAGGTAGCCTATCTACCTACTTAGATTTTTAAACCTACCTACTACCTATCTACTACCCTCGCTAGCTAACTATAGTAGGCAAAACCTATACTCACCTATTTACCCATGGGTTGAGTTTTATCTATCCTCATGTCTACTTATAGTAGATATATAAGATCTATTTTATAATACTTATATATAATTTAATACGATTTCTTTCTTCTAGACTCTTAATATCTAACTAATAATATTACTAATAGAGGAGTAATATTCTTATAATTATTAGAATTAGTTAGTTAATCAAATTATAGATAATATTAGCTTTATCTTTATAAATAATAACTTAAAGAAGATCTATAAAAAGATTATTTTTAATTAAATTACTACTTCTACTTGTACCAATAATATTACTCTTATTAATATATATATTCGATAATATTAATAATTTAAGTCTAAAAAAAAGAATATATATATAGATATATATATCCCTATATATAATTATATATAAGTATATATATCCATACTTAATCCATTTTCTAAAACGATCTATTTTCTACAATTTATATAGGTAGGTAGGGATTTTCGAAATCTATAGTATAAACTAGACTACGCATATTACATGAGATGGATAAGAGCTTTCCTAGTATTGAATGGGCATTCCATACATAAGGGGGATATTCAGTATTTAATTCTGGTTTGGGCTATGTGGTTCTGAGATAGATGCCCCAAAGTCGATCAACCAGCCAACGTACGGGAAACTGCGTTGGGGAAACGCTCTCCGGCAAATAGAGATACCAATCATTTTCATCTACTAGACTCAAAGTGCGAGTTAGCCCAGTGCATTCATAGTACTCAGGATAAAAGCCACTATACTCCCAGTCAATAAGTCCAGTAACAATATAGCGGCCGTTGGGATCCTGTTTCACCATAATATTATCAGTCCTAACATCACCGTGCGTGAACACCGATCCATACATTGAAGTGGAGTGGTCATTCTTCAGAAAGGAACGAAGGAATTCAACATAAGTGGAGCTGCCATGGTGGCGGGCGGAGAATTGTAAGTCGTTGAACTTGATTGCCGCGGTGATTCCTTTAAAAAGGGCGCATTCATCAACACGGAGCTCTTTGACCCCTTCTCCAGAGACACCTCCAAGCATATGGCCATCATCCTGTCGAAGTATTCTTAGTCGGCGGAAGATTTTATCCAGCTGGCCTCGTATCGATAACTTTTCCTCATAAGACAGGCTAGGCCATGCTTGGGCCAAGGTCATGCCTGGAATATATGACATAAACATGACCCGAAAGGGCCCGAAAGCGACTAGACCATGTGGTCTTGGTGCAGGAACATCAGGCGCCTGTTTAGCAAGGAATTTCAAGCTCGTGTACTCCGTGTAATCTTTGTTTCCTATAATGACTTTGGCAACTATGTCCTCATTGCACTTGACAACCATACCCCTAACAGGATTTTCCCAAAGCTTTGTCGAATCCCAAAGAAGCTTCTTCAAGGAGCGAAGGAGTGAATCCGCCGCATCGCCTGGCCCACTATGCCCTGACTCTCCTGACTGTGCAAGCAAAGAGGTAACCTTCTCAGATAATGGAAATATAACTGAAGCAGTCTTAGCAAGATCAAGACGCGTGCGGAACTCGGGAGCGTTTCTCTCAGAAGCGCGCTTCTCTGCGGGCGACAAATCCGGGGATCCAGTCGCCATTGTGATCCTACGGGTATAATTTGTTGGAAATGCAGATTGTAGATTGACCTCAGGGTCATGCCTAAAGGCGTCATGAAGTTCATTTAGCGTTCGGAGATTAATTTTCGCAGCATAAGACAGCTGCGAATACTGCGCATTTCGATGCTCACGATGATAAGAGTCGGAGAACATTGATATTAGATCCACCGCAGGGTTCTTTTCCAAGGCGGCCTTGAATTCCAGTAGAATGTCTCTGTTCCATTGTGCTGCTTCGCTATTGGAGAGGGTAAGGGCTCGTGGAGCTTCTGCCATGTCGTACGTGGTGGAAGTGAGGCCGGCGGAGGAAGTAGCCTCGATATCATGCGGTATTTCATACTTGGATACACCCAAAAGAAGGTAAAACGGGAGATGGACGAACTGTCGAAATCCAGCCCATGCAGCCGCGCAATAGCGCCAGAAAAACGAAAACATTACGGACAAGGCAATATGGTCAATGGCGTTCTGAGCATCCGGAGGTCGTGTTGAGGAATCAGGGAGGTCACGGAGGTCTCTGATGTTGCTGGTTGATGATTGTAGGCCATGACAACCTCCCAAAAAGGTCTGGGCTGCGGTCAATTAACTAGGGCGTGTTGACATGGAACATTTGACTGGGTGGAGAAAAGAAATTGGGGCAAGCAGACGGTGATTTGTTGGCTTTAAGGTTGCGGCTAAATTATTCGGGGCTTTACTTTTTCCGTCTCCAGCCCACCTAGCTTCCACCTGCAACCTTATTCGATGAGAGCCGCTGAAAAAGCTCACACTTCCCGTTCCACCAACCAAAGATGGCCAGGAATAGCCATTTTCTTTCACCATGCCATCTTCCTCCTTCGATTACTATTTATTTTACCTAAAATAATGCGTTGTGGTATTATTTATCGCGTGTTAGAGTGGGAGGGTGGTATAGCTGGTACTTCTGATGAGGTACCAGTGGGTGGGGACCGATCGATGATTTCTGTCCACCGACTGTATCTTTCCAATGGCACCAAAGAAGTACGAGACCCCTGCTTTACTCTCAAGTAAGGAAGGGCGAATCCTTGAGACTTATGTCCATGCGATCAAAAAATACCCGTTACCAAATGACCCCTTAATACCTAAGGAAATCGATATATTTTTAAGAAAAGTCTTCAGTGACTGGACAAGCGATGATAAACTACATTCGAAGCCCGATAGAAAGGGGGCGAAAGCAAATTTCCACGATACTGCCGTCCGTATGGGCACACTTACCCGCGACCTACCTTCGAGCGAGGACCAAAGCAGCCCGGAAAAATCAAACCCAATATAAAGTTAAAAAGGCCGACAAGACAAGGGGGTTAGAATAATCTGGCCCGCCGAGCAGGGTCCCCCGTTTATATCCGCGCTCTTCAAAGTAAAAGTTCTACTGCGATTACATTCTCCTATATAGATGGGAATCGTCGGATAATCTCAGACGCAAATAGCTTTTTCAAACGAGATGATTACCGTACTAAGACAGATATGTACCTGCAAGCTACGAAACGGCGTGATAACTTCACTATACGTAAGGTGCATGCCTTCAATATCGATCTTGCTATTTACTTCGCACGGAACAGAATTCTACAGTGGGCAGAGGGTCATGCGATCCGCCCTCCGCCGGCTCAGTCAGAAAATCTTAGCCAACTCATGGCATTCCAACTCTGTCGCAATGATATACCATCGACTGGGCCTATTGGAGATGCTCTTACAATTCTTCGCAGCCGTCCAAAATTATCCCTCTTCCCGGTATAGGCTTCATTATACTAGTTGATCTTGCGCGATGAATCTTTCAATAGATTTTTAACACCACTTCATATATGTATTTTCACTAGTTGCAGAGTAGTTAACGTTGTATAACTAATTCCCCAGAGAATTTTAATTAGTTGAGCTGTGGACTAACTAACTATAACTGAGAACTCTGTATAATAGCAAATCGTCCATAGACATCGCGGAATCAGTTTATATACAACCCCGATGGTACACTTGCAAACCCACAACAGTACACAGAATCAGGTAATGCCTCTAGGGATCCAACAGAAGACGTCTGATATCGTGTCAGTTTTTGTATTAGTCATCTTATCTCGCTACACCTTGCTTTAGCACATTCGATAGATCCTCAATATCATCATCCTCTTTTCTGGCATATCGTTACTCTCCTTGCCTTATCCTTGTGAGCTACTCCTGGCCACTCCCGTGTCTTTTACTCCATACGGTTAGTTTCTTTGTAGTAATGTCCTCCCGCGCTCATAATTTCACCCTCTTTTAAGGCTGTTATCCACTTTGATATTGTTATTATCCAAGACAGGAGCAAAAGGTGTCTAACGGAAGTACTTAGTTAATTATCTCCAGTTTTTCGTCTCAAGTTAAGTCTATTTAGTAGATTAACTAGCTCCGTGCAAACTTTCCTATGAGTGTCTTTTTCCAACGTTTACTACAGACTCTTGACCAATCTCTCCCTGCCCAAAACCTGTGCCATCTGGGCTGTCTACCCAAAGAAAGGCTTCGAATAGGAACATTAAATGGGCCCGCTTGATCCTTCGGATCCTTCCTGCATGACACATCCCTGCATTGCGCCAAGAGTACTCCGTAGTGAGGGGATGGGACGGGAAGCCCTGGTCCCTCTAACCTTAGAGGGGCTGCCGGAGCAAGAAGAATAAATATGACGGATGATGACACAGATCCAGGGAGCAGATACTTATATCTTATTGTCAGGGATGGTATCCCCGCCGCCTGAAGGTGACACAGCTATTCTGGGAAGAAATTCAACCAGAGACACAGCAGCCTCAGCACAATGGAAGCCGCTGCGAGTGCGATCGGTCTGATCCAGGTGACTACTCATGTGCTGCATCTCACAGTCAAGTTCTACTTCGAGGTTAGGGATGCCCGCAAGGAAATAAAATCGCTCGAGGGTGAAATCAGCGATCTTCAGGGCACGCTGCGCAAGATAGTCGACCTGGCCGAAGATACCAGCGACCCTGAGGCGATCAAGCGTTTACCAGCCTTTGCGTTACTCCTGGGAGAAGATGGTGCGCTGGCCAGATGCCAGGCGGAGCTCCTAGAGCTGGCCGGTAAGCTGGAAAAGGCCGGTGGCGCTGGTAGCGGTAAAGATGAAACTCTCCTGCAGAAGAAGAACCCGATGAGACAGTTTGGTGTCCGGGCCTTGAAGTGGCCGTTTACCAGCAAGGAGATCAAAAGCAGCATTGCAGTTCTTGAACGGTGCAAGGCCAGCTTCAACCTCGCCTTGACCGCAGACCAGACCAAGTTGACTCTTGACACCAATCGCCTTGTCGTCGAGCTGGGAAAGGACATAACCGCCAGCCGAAACGAGCAGCAAAAGGGGGAATATCGTTCAAAAATCATCCAATGGCTCTCGGCTGTCGAGCAAGGCATAACCTGGTCTAATCATGAAGATGCACGGAAGAAGCACTCTCAGGGAACCGGAGAGTGGGCGCTGGAGCTTCAGGCATTCAAGGAGTGGAAGAGCACCGGCCCTGCCATCCTTTGGATGCATGGGAAGCCTGGAAGTGGGAAGACAGTGCTGAGTTCGTCTGTCATCGAACATCTGCAAGCAGAGTACGACTCTGAGGCCAATACTCTCCTGTCATACTTTTATTTCGATTTTGGCACGCCCGCGAAGCAAAGCGCCACAAACTGCCTACGGTACCTGCTCTCACGGCTACTTACCAAAGCACCGGAGGTACCGCAGGAGCTCAGAGACCTCTATGTGAAAAAGTGCAACTTTGGCAGCGAAACTCCAGCACTATCGGACTTGATCTTTATTTTCAAACTTTTTGCAGAATCTGAAGCTATTGAAAATATTTTCATTACTATCGATGCCCTCGATGAATGCCCCCTGGATAATAGACAGGAACTACTAGATTTTCTCACAACTATATCTTCATGGACGCCTTCAAACCTACATGTATTTCTTACAAGCAGACCCGAGAGTGACATTAGAGAAGCCCTTTCTCCTATTTCAATCGTCACTGCGGTCTCTGTCGGTGGCTCCTCTGTCACACAAGATATCACGTATCACATACAGTCACAGCTCTCCTCTGATCCAGCGCTAAAGAAACTGCCAGCGAAGCTGAAATCACAGATCCAGAGCAAGCTAATCGCTGATGCTGATGGGATGTAAGTAGATCATCCTCCTTTCCCATAGTTAACTGCCCGCCCAGAAGACAATAATAATGTTATTGGACGATAGGTTTCGGTGGGTAGATTGCCAACTTAGTGAATTGAAAAGATGCAAGACAAAAGCGCTTTTGATAAAAACTCTCGAATCGCTTCCAAAGACCTTAGATGGTACCTATGAGCGAATACTCCAGAGTATCCCTACAAACTACCAGGATTATGCGCGCCGTGCACTGTGGTGGCTCGTAGAAGCGCGGAGGCCGCTAAGCGCAGAGGAAGTCGCCGAAGCAGCCATTCTTGATGCTGACGAAGATACCCCATTCGATCCGGAAGGCCGTTTTTTCAACCCACAGGATGACATTTTAGAGATACTAGGAAGCCTTGTATCGGTAGCTGAAAGAGAACACGAAGTTACAGACGTGAACGACGAAAGCAACAGCAGGGCTACAGCAACTACAGTGAATGAAACATTCAACGAACTCCGTCTATCCCACTTTTCTGTTAAAGAGTATTTGATCTCAACGCACCCATTGAACTGCCAGAACCCCTTAGTTGCCCAGTTCTATGTTGATAAATCTCTTGTTTCTAGCTTCATTCTCCGAAGCTGCCTTCTATACATATCTCACTACATAGGTTCAGACTATAGAGCTGGCGCGAGGGATGACGTGGACGAATTTCCCCTGCTCCTCTATGTATGCGAATTTTGGTTCGCGTATGCAGGACTGCCGCTCGATAACAAAAGTTCTGGGCTATTGAATGATTTCTTCGCCTCAGAGACGCAGGTACAAGCATGGCTGCTTGTTCATACTCCAAACCAACCAAGAAAGGATCTTTTCCAGCCGCCTGATGAGCCAGGCCAGGCTCTTCACCATGCATGCTACCTTGGCTTAACTGGCACTGCCAAGTACTTAATAGAGAATGGTGCCACCGTCGACTGCACCACGGAGAGCGGAGTGACCCCCTTAATTCGAGCAGCTGAGGTACGTTTAATCTCCATATCGCCATAGTATTTCATATGATTTTTGTTAATGCTTTGCTACTAGAGAGGCCATGTAGATATTATAGATCTTCTCCTCAACTTTGACTCAAATGTCGATCATTCGACTAGGGGGGGCCGGACCCCGCTTCAAGTAGCGTGTAGCCGTGGGCATATAAAAGTCGTGGAAAGACTTCTCATTTCCAAGGCGGATGTAGAGTCGAAAGATGTGGATCTTTGGACTCCGCTATACTGGGCTGCGGAGGGTCGACATGAAGACATTGTCAGTCTCCTCCTCAAGCAGGGGGCCGACCCAAATGCAAGGACCATGAGTGGAGGGACTGCACTTCACCAAGTATGCGGCAGAGATTATGACGAAATTGCGCGGCATTTGCTGGATTCTGGCGCAGAGGTGGACGTTGCAACCAGCTGGGGTCGGACTCCATTGCACCAAGCTGCCGCTGGTGGATCGCTGGAAGTTGTGAAGCTTTTATTAGCCTATGGAGCAGACCCGAATGTCCTAGACAGGTCCTATAGTTCTCCTGTTTCTTTAGCAGAGGAAAACCTGCACCACGAGATTGTTGACGTGCTGCGACCTCTTACGAATTTGAAAGACCCGCTTGACAGTTCTGAAGAGTAAAAACACTGTCAAATATCATGTAGTATCTATCCATACAGAATTCTTCTCTAATGAAATCAGGTTCTGAAACTACTTTCCGCTATTTCCTTCTTAAATAGTAATGGAAATGAACGCCATTGTTGCTTGAAGAGCGAATTGAGAAAACTAATATACGGTGTCTATGTATAGGCTTCTCCGTATGAACCAGATGTATCCGTTCATAGTCTGTTCCAGCTGCAGTCCAAGCTTCGTTGCTCTGTTGTTGTTATCGAGTACGAATTCTGCTTTAATAGGGAATATGTCGTTTCCGTGGACCTCTGTGACATACACTATATATTTCACCTGCTCACGTATGTGCTTGAAAGCAAGCGTAAACGGCGTTGTTCGATCAGTACAATCAATAAACAATTGATCACCTCTGTTTTCTACCTTGATCCCGCGGTAACCCTGGTTCCAATATAGCCCTGTGTAGGAGTCCAATGGTATTTCCTGGGGCTGAGACCGGAGCCCGTTTATATCAGGACAAAGCTCTTGTATAAGTTCCTCCTCTGTTTGGATATCA